GGGAGGTAGATTTATAGAAAGGGAAGGTGTTATCACCCTTTCTATCCATGGTTATCCATGGGCTCTTAGGTACTTGCTCATTTGTGTTTTCAAAAGGCTTGCTTTTCGAGTGTGAGTGGGTTTGAAAAAGTTTCGTTTAAAAGTTTCAGATCGACTCTTGTATCAGTCCTCAAGAGTGTTTGAAAAGTTGTTTTGAAAGCTTTTTTTGAAAGTGTCGGTGTGAAAAGAGTTTTGATTTGTTTTGAATTAGAGCAAGTACCTATGAGTCATCCACCTACCCTAAGGAATTAAGCTGTGTAGAAGTCCTTAAGGTAGTGCCAGCCCACCATTGAGAGGTAGGTAGCACCACCGTTGGAGGTGTTCGGGTCAATTCGAGTTTAGGGACAGTGTGTGGTCACCAGAGCAACAGTAGGACACCTTAGAAGCTACCCTTATGCCATGTTCATGGACATAAGGACTTACTAAAACGTCCTATACTCGACGACCACGTTTCGAGGGGCAAGGCAACAGTGAGGCGTACATTAGAAGAGGTGTGTGAATTTGTGTTTTGTTTTCAGTTATTATTTGTCTTGTCATGCATTGGGTGAGCTACGCTTTGATTTTATTTGGGCATACATTCTTTCATGTGATTAGCAGTTTAAAGATGCGGAATTTAAAGTGCGGAAAATAAAAGTCCTACGCTATTACAAGGCGCGGGTCTATACATCGCCAAATTAAACAAAGACCCATTTTTTAATAAAATGCGGAAAGTAAAGGTCCTAATTATCTATTACAAGGCTTTGGGGCAGCTACATTATATTAAAAATAAAAAATAGAAACAAACGCGCGAAAAGAAATAAGAATCGAAGGTGCGAGGGCGTTGGACCCTTTAAAGAAATTAACTTGAAATTACGAATTAATTAAATGATTTAATAAGAAAAGGAAGTTATTTTTTATGTTTTTTGGTATTTTATAGAAATAAAGAAAATTAATTGGGATTAAAATTAAATAAAATCCTAATTCTAAATTGTTTTTAATTATTAAAGAAGAATGTTTAAGTTTGACCTAATTTAACCCTAATTAATTAATTACAAGTTTATTTACAAGATAATTAATAATTAATAATGATAAGAATACAAAGTTATTTATTAAGAAAAGAATAAAATATTAAAACCCTAATTTCTACGTTTTTTTTAGTTTATTAAAAACATTTAAAGTTTAACCTAATTTTACTAAATTGATTAATAAAATTTATTTACCAAAATTAATAGAAATTAATATTAAATAAACATATTTTTATTTTGACTTTTCTGATTTTTTTGTGTTTTATGAAAATTAATTTTATGGAATTAAACAAAACAAATAACATGATTAAAATAAATAAAAGAAAAGAATAAAAAGAGAGAAAGAAAATGCAAACATGGGGGGTGGTTGACCCAATTGAGGAGGTTTATTGTGAGCATTTTGGCCCAATTATGGAGGTGTTGTTGACTTTTCAGTGGTCACGTGCAGAATGATTAACTAGCATCCATGGTAATCCTCCCATTCTGGCCCTTAGATTGAAATTCCTGGACACTTGGCAGTCTAGATAGTGAGGACGCATGATGGTCCTTGGATGGCACGCTGCATAGAAGTACATTAGAAGAAAAATTATGGAAAGGGCGGGGGACCTGGGAATCGAACCCAGGTCCCAATACCTGCATGCCAGCGCGTTTGCCAATGGAGGTAGTGTGTTCTTTTGTTAGTTTAATGGACAATGAATAATATAATAGAAAAATCAATATCATGTTGGACTAAACAAAAAAATGCGCTAATGTTTAAACTGTCCAGTCACCGTTCAACACCTCAACGTCTCTTTCCTTGCTTCTTTGTTTTTTTGCCTGAAAATACAAATGGATAGCAGGGGTTTTAAACCCCCACTAAATCAAACCTGAAAAATAGCGAATAGGTCATGTGCAAATATAAAAAGGGCGCAATGGGGGGAATTGACTCGTTTGGACGTTCTGAATCCAGTGGTATAGGTCTCGTGGCCTAATTTTTCCAGATGAGGAAAGCCCCAAATTCAGACTTCTGAAACCCTAGAACATTTTCATGGTGGATTTCTGTACAGGCAGCCATTCTTCAATTGAACGGTACCATTAGCTTTAGAATGATCATGTTAGTATAAATCAAACATTAAAATGCATGGAAAACGTGTATAAATTCAAATATGAATATGCAAAAATTCATGAACAGGGCAAAGTCGTTCTACCACTTCTGGATGTATGGAGACTGGAAAAGTATTGAGTCATGTTCAGGAAGGTTCCAGCAATCGTTTGGGATACTTTTTAGGCCTTGAATCACACTGGAACTATGTTTTCAGTTTTGATATTTTTTGTGAAAAATGCAAGTTTTTGTTCTCCTATTCTCAGCGCAACTTTTTTGTTCTTAGGATTAGGTTTGTGTTTGCATATGTATGAGGAATCATTCTAGGTCAAAAACCAAGCCCATAATCCATTGAATCAATGTTTTTAATATTTTATTTTCAAGCATCTTTTTCAATCTTTTCCATACCAATCTTATGCCAATCATGGAAGATTCTTTCCTATTAGGGTGTGCACGAAATCTTGAGCTCATAATGGACATATTAGCTGCATAAAAAGATTCAAAACACATGCTTTAGTATTTTTCTCATATTTAATTTTAATTAAATGAATTAAATAGATTAAATATTCAATTAATTAATTAAAAATAATAAAATAACTCCCTTTTAGGTTAATGGGTCGTGCATATGCTTTTGGGTGATGATTCTTGGAAGAAATTGAGGCCCATTAACAATTTTGAGGCATTTGAAGCAAAGTTGACTTTTCAAAAATCCCAAAAATTTCCCAACTTCCACAAGGCATATCTTGCTCAATTTTTAAGCTTTGATCATGTTCTTGGACATTTTGGAAAGGTATTGAAGTCCTCTAACCAATGCCTTTGGTCCCATGTCATTTTGATTTACCAATCTCAAGTTATGGTCTTTGACTTAAAGTCCCTTTTTGTTGACTTTTGAAAATGACCTATAATGTTGAAATGGATAACTCTTTGTGAGAGCATTTCTTGGACTTGAAGTGTGAAGATGAGTTGTAGGAAATGTCATTCTCTTCAAAATGAGCTTTGGATGGAATTTTTCTGATAAACCATGTGGAAGTTATGCCCTGGTCAATTTGCAGTTGACTTTTTCATCTGTCCAAAAATAAAAACTTTTGCATCTTGAGACTTTTTGAGCCATGCTTGTGAAATCATGATCAAGAATTGATCAAATGATGTTTGTGGCTTCAAAATAAGATGTTGACCAAAAATTTGGACTTTTGACTGTCAAATGACCATTTTGCCCCTACAGTTGACTGTGAAGCAATTAGGGTTTTTGACTGTGCAATTTTGTGCTGTGAGTCTTGAAACTTGGCATAAGGATGCTTGACAATGTTTATAGGCATGTGGGACTTGTTTGGACCCTTGGAAACTTCAACTTCTTTGCCAGAACCAAAACCCTAATTTTTGACTATTAGGAGGCCATTGAACTGTGCAACCCTTGGGAGATTTTGAACCTTGATCTTGGCAAATTTTGAAGAATATGGGAGGGAAAATTTTGGGGTACAACACACTACAAAATACATAATCTTTAATGTTTTTTTCCACTTCAACATCTTGTTCAGTTGAATTTGAATTTTTAACACACCATCCCCTAATTCTTCATTTCTAAGCCTCAATTTTTCGTAATGATTCTTGGTTTCATCTAAATTCTTTGATATGCTTTCCAATCTATTAACACCTCTTTGCAAGGATCCCTGCAAATTTCAAAAATTGATCAAACTTAGTTTAGCATCTTTTAACATACCCAAACAAAAATTAGGGCTTACCTTGTAATTGTGACAACTCAAAATTTCTTTTTATAATTCTTCTCAGCCCTACGAAGAATTATGAAATTCGTTTGGGAAGATGAATGCTTCGTATTCATGGAGAAATGATCGAAACGATTCTGGATTGGTTCTTTGTTTTGAGAATGTTGGGAATGTAAGAAGATGGTGGGTACAAAGATGAACTACGTAAAGAAGATTTAGGGAATGAGATTTTGTAGCAACAATGCCACGTAACGAAAATAATGAACGCATGGTAAAGAACATTTTTCGTAATGATTCTTGGTTTCATCTAAATTCTTTGCTATGCTTTCCAATCTATTAACACCTCTTTGCAAGGATCCCTGCAAATTTCAAAAATTGATCAAACTCTGTTTAACATCTTTTAACATACCCAAACAAAAATTAGGGCTTACCTTGTAATTGTGACAACTCAAAATTTCTTTCCATAATTCTTCTCAGTCCTACGAAGAACAACGTTGTCTCCACAGTGGCAAAATGGTGCAATTCGTTTGGGAAGATGAATGCTTCGTATTCATGGAGAAATGATCGAAACGATTCTGGATTGGTTCTTTGTTTTGAGAATATTGGGAATGTAAGAAGATGGTGGGTACAAAGATGAACTACGTAAAGAAGATTTAGGGAATGAGATTTTGTAGCAACAATGCCACGTAACGAAAATAATGAACGCATGGTAAAGAACGCATAGTGATTATAAAGAAGATGATGAAATCTACCAGCTCACCTGTCACGTAACGAAAATAAACGGCGTTTAAACTTATTTAAATCTTTAAGAAAATTAAAGAATCAATTTAGGACAAAAAAAAAAAATGAACCATATACTATAATTAAGGAACAAAAATAAATATTTTGTTTATTTATAAAAACCTTAAAAACATGAAGGAAAAAAAAAAAACCTTAAAAACAGGAAGGAAAAAAAAAAAACCTTAAAAACAGGAAGGAAAAAAAAAACCTTAAAAACAGGAAGGAAAAAAAAAACCTTAATACTTAAAGAATCTTGAATCGAAAATCGAATCAAATCACAAACTCTTCCTTCACTTTCCTTTTACTTACTGAAAAATCACTCTTTTCTTCTTCTATTCAACTCAAATCATTCTTCTATTCAACTCAACTCAAAACATGGTATTCATTTATATTTATCGTCTTCTTCGTCTTTACTTCATGTGTTTCGATTTTTCGCAATTTTTTTGACCCTTTTTGTTGTTCTTGTTTTTCAGGAAAAAACCACAATGACTGATAAGTACAGCATTGAATCCGCTGAAACTTTGGCAAACCAAGCTCAGGTTTTGAATCATTCCTTGTTTTTCTTTTGCAATTCTTTTACCTTTTTATTTATTTATGTCATGTTGTTTAGGTTTTGTTTATAGTAAAGATCGCATTTTTATCTAGTAGTTTTGTCATAGTGGCTATAGGGGTGCTATAGTTCGGTAGCATAGTTGAATTTGAACAAACCGATAAAATCGTGATATCTGATTTAGTATAATGTGTAACAAATGGCAGTCTAGCAGAATTTGAACAAATCGTTTATTGTAACGCAGTACCCGATTTTGTATGATGTGTTTTCAAATAGTAGCTATAGCATTGTGGAATTTGACCGTAACCTTAATGTAATGAGCAGCTTCTGTTTTCGTTTGTTTCCAACTTTTTGATGATGATATTGTTTCTCTGCTGCTGTTTAGGGTTTGCCTATTGCGGAAGCCACACCTATATACGAGCAGCTTCTGCAGTTATTTCCAACAGCTGTAAGTGATTTTGATTGTTTCAGAAGAAATACATGGTTTTGATAGTGTTCTATAGTGAACTACTTCTATGAGTGATTTTGAAAGGTTCTACTATTAAGGGACTAGTTTTTGATGATGCTTATTTTGATTTGTGTCCAGGCCAGGTTTTGGAAGCAGTATGTGGAGGCACACATGGCTGTAAATAACGATGATGCTATCAAACAGATTTTTAGTCGATGTTTGTTGAACTGTCTTCAAGTTCCTCTCTGGTATGTCGTTTCATTATTCTTATCCGAAAATTTTGTACTTTTGTTGCTTCTTTCGTTTTCCTGGTAGCCCTCGTTTTAATGTTGCACCTTGTTTCTTATCCTTGCTTACAGGCGGTGTTACATTCGTTTCATCAGAAAGGTTAATGACAAGAAGGGGACAGAGGGTCAAGAAGAGACAAAAAAAGCTTTTGACTTTATGCTCAATTATGTCGGTAAGTTGCTTCTCATTGTCCCATTCGTTTTGTATTTCGGTTTTCTTTCGACTATTGTAGCAACTATTTAGGAGATGATGATGATGGAAATTCACCTAAGGTGGTTCTGTTCGATCTTGGGAGAAAAATTATAATAGAAGCTCTAGTGAGAGGAAGATTTTTGGGGACTCATAGAGAAAAGTGAATAAAAAGGCGGAAGATTATGTCTTTGTATATGCGTGTGTATATTCATGTATCTATATATGTATGTATATTGATACATCTTTCTAACAATGTGCTAACAGGAGCAGACATAGCATCTGGCCCTGTGTGGATGGAATACATATCCTTTCTAAAATCATTGCCGGTTAGTTAACCTTGTTTTTTTTTTTTGTTGCAATTTTCGGTGCATAATTTGGTATCACTTTTCAACTGTTTTTCTGATCAAATTCAATTGCAGTCTGTGCACCCACAAGAAGAATCACATCGGATGACTGTTATTAGAAAAGTCTATCAGAGGGCTATTATCAATCCTACCCATCAAATTGAACAACTTTGGAAAGATTATGAAAATTTTGAAAATTCCGTCAGTCGCCAGTTGGTATTATACCGGTCTTTATTTCATGCTCGATTTATTTATATGTATTCACGATTATGTTTTTTTGTATAACAAAATTCTAATTCTAATTCAAAATCAAAAGGCATACATTCTGACGATAAGGTGTTTTGCAGGCTAAAGGACTGGTATCTGAATATCAACCAAAGTATAATAGTGCGAGGGCAGTTTACCGGGAAAGGAAAAAGTATTTTGATGAAATTGATTGGAATATGCTCGCTATACCACCGACTGGATCCTCAAAGGTAAATTTCTGTTCTTTTGCAAATATTGTTTACAAAAGAGACTCTAATTTCATATTATGAGCCAGTTAATCTAAAAGCTTAAGATGTTCGACGAAAAAAATGAACGAATTAGTAGTTTTATATCTCTTACATTGTTATAATTTTTACGTGTTTGTTACTTCTGACAGGAAGAAATGCAGTGGATGGCATGGAAAAGACTTCTATCTTTTGAAAAGTAAGAAGCACACATCCTTTTAATCGTCTTGAAGTGATTGTTTGATGAATCTAATTTTTCCTATCATTGATTTATTTGGTGATGTTTCTTAACATTTTGTATTAAACCGTTATTCATTTCAGAGGAAATCCACAGAGAATAGACACCGCTTCCTCCAACAAACGAGTTATATTTACTTATGAGCAGGTACTAGGAAATATATTTTTCTTTCTTTGCTGTGTTTTACTTTGGTAACATTTATTTATTATATAATTTATGGAATTTCTCACTGCATTTTACCGGTATTCAGTGTCTGATGTATATGTACCATTATCCTGATATATGGTACGACTATGCAACATGGCACGCCAAAGGTGGCTCGATAGATGCTGCCATTAAAGTATTTCAAAGATCTCTGAAGGCTCTTCCTGGTTCGTGGCACTTTCTTTTGTTAATTTTGCTAGTTTTCAGATTTTTTTAATATCGTCTGGATATCGTTTTTATCCACAACATTTTCTCGACCCTCAATTCCTCGTTCTGTCTTTCCATTTGTGAACAGATTCGGAAATGCTACGATATGCTTACGCAGAGCTAGAGGAATCCCGTGGAGCAATCCAGGTATTACTGGTTGGACAAATGCGGCGAAAACAATAGTGATTATATTTATTGGGAATTGTGGGATTTTTAATGTATTGTTTTATTTCAGGCTGCAAAGAAAATACACGAAAACCTTTTGGGAGATGGTGAAAATGCAACTGCACTTGCACATATTCAAGTATGTGTTTTTTGTTTGTTTGTTTAATGTGATTTTAAAAAAAAAAAATCAGTAAATAAGTCTTATGTCACGATCAGAAATTTGAATGTTTTGCCGGTTCAAGTTCCTATTCTAATTTATCGAGAATGTTAAGTAATTTACGCAGTTTATTGCAATAACTGTTGATATATATTTCCATGATATCGGTTTCATGCTACAGTTCATTCGTTTTCTAAGAAGAACTGAAGGTGTTGAAGCTGCAAGGAAGTACTTTCTGGATGCTCGCAAATCCCCGACTTGTTCATATCATGTTTACGTTGCTTATGCGTCCGTAGCTTTCTGTCTTGACAAGGATCCTAAGGTCTTACCTTTCTTACCCGTTCTATCCTTGGAGTCTTATACTTTAACTTCTGGAAAATTAATTCGGATTATCCTTGCAGATGGCTCATAACGTTTTTGAAGCCGGATTAAAACGCTTTATGCATGAGCCGGTCTATATTCTCGAGTGAGTTCTACTTTCTGTCATTTAACTCCTCCAAAATATAGTAGTAGTTTTTAAATCTTATACTGCTTGTTGTTTTTAACTTGATGTTTCAGATATGCCGATTTCTTGACGCGTTTGAATGATGACCAAAATATACGTGCTTTATTTGAGAGGGCATTGAGTTCACTTCCTCCAGAGAAATCGGTTGAGGTATATTTCAGTTGCAGTCGCAGAATATTTAGTAGTTGTAATTTTATGTTGAATTTGCTCGTAACTAATCTCAATTGCAGGTTTGGAAAAGGTTCGTTCAGTTTGAGCAAACTTACGGGGATCTTTCCAGCATGCTCAAGGTAGAGTACTCTGAATTTGATTAAACCAATGCTTATGCCGGTTCTATAAACTTCACATAAATCAACTGTAACGTGTTTTGATGATTTATCATTGTATCATATGTAGGTTGAGCAAAGAAGAAAAGAAGCGTTTGGCGAAGATGCAACGACAGCATCAGAGAGTTCTCTGCAAGATGTCGTATCACGTTATAGTTTCATGGATCTATGGCCGTGCTCTTCTAATGACCTTGATCATTTGTCCCGACAAGAGGTAAAATTTTCCCGTCTTTCACGAATTCTTCTGTTATATCTGTGTCTTATATAGTAATTCATTTTAATTTCGACTTTTTTTAGTGGCTTGCCAAAAATCTCAGTAAGAAAGTCGAGAAGTCTATTATTCCTAACGGCACGGCTCTTACCGGTATTATACTCATTCTCACGTTTGGTTTCACAATATTTCTTATTATGCGACTAACGATACACTATCAATGCAGATAAGAGATCTGTTGAGAACATTTCAAATACGTCGTCAAAGGTTGTCTATCCTGATACTTCGAAGATGTTGATATATGATCCAAAGCAGAATCCGGGTACAGGTGCTAGCACAAATGCATTCGATGAAATTCTTAAAGCTACACCGCCTGCTTTGGTTTCATTTTTAGCAAACCTACCCACAGTCGACGGTAATTTTCAATTTGTCTGTAAACTTCGATTTCACATCAATCCCACAATATGCTCTTTTCGATAACCGTGTTTTGAAATATGCAGGTCCAACTCCAAATGTGGATATCGTGCTATCGATTTGTTTGCAGAGCGACCTTCCAATTGGTCAAAGTGGTAAAACTGGGATGCCAGGAGGTCCTGCTCCTGCTACAAGTGAATTGTCCGGTTCAAGCAAGTCTCATCCTGTTCAGAGTGGTTTGTCGCATAAATCAATCGGTCGAAAGCATTATGGGAAAAGAAAAGATTTAGACAGTATGTGCATAATCCATTTTGACTATACTTTATGCTTACATCAATAAAATAATCCATTTTTTTTGGCTTATTTCTATAAGCTCTCTAGAATAGGCACAATTCATCAAATATACAAGAATGTGCTTTTAGCTTTCTTCCGTGTTTTGAATTTCGACATCAAAATCAAATTTTAATTTGATTGATACTTGTTATTATAATGTTTAGGACAAGAAGATGATGATACTACATCTGTTCAAAGCCAACCACCTCCTCGGGATGCTTTCCGGATACGACAGTTCCAGAAAGCTCGAGCCAATAGCACATCACAAACGGGATCAGTTTCATATGGAAGTGCACTTTCTGGTGATTTATCCGGCAGCACCGGTTGATATAACAATATTATAAATCACAACTTCCACCATTGAAATTGCTTTTGATAAAGATCGACATCATCAATGACTAGAAACTATTTCACAGCTAGTTTACCTTGGCTTCCAAGCAACCTCACGATATTCTTTGGACTCATCATAACAAATGGGGAAATCCTTCACTTCATTATACCTTTGTATAGGTTTTGTCGATTTGGATATTTATCTCTGCACTCTTTTTCCCTTCATCAAGGTTTTATTCCTCTGGGTTTTCCTTGGTAAGGTTTTTAACGAGGCAGAGTCATAGGTTGTGTTTTGGTCTGGTCCCCAATAAATATGTATATATGGATTCAAATCATGTTATATATATATATCTATTTTGATTTGATTACTATCAAATTTTTTTATTATATCAAAATTTAAATATTTGGATGATATACATTACATTACATGATGGTGCATGGTGCATGAACATTGTCATCACTGAAGAGAAAAACAGTTTCATCAGGAACAGTTGAGTAAACCTGATCAGGAAAATATCCATGAACAGTCTCATTGAAACCATGTCTGTAATAGTTGTAAGAAGATGTGAATGTTGATTCATCCAAATATTGTGAAGCATATGGATAATATTCACTGTCATAAGGAAATGGCCAATACTCAGCTTTTCTTCCTGTTCTTCTCACAGTTTTCAATACCTTACTTTTGTCAACATAACCTGTTACTGTTACCTTCTGGTTTTCCATGTCTATCTCCAAACTATCAACACCTGCATGCATACAAGCTCTCAATATTCTTTTGATGCATTCAATTAAATTTATATAAATGTATCAACTAAAATATTAATTTTTATGAAGTATGTTTACTTTTTTTTAATATTTTTTTTCACTTTTTAATGTTGATTTGATTTAGTTTATTTGTCATTTCGTTTGATTTTAGAACTTCAATTCGGTTTGGTTATTAAAAAAAATAATATGATGAGGGGAATGGTTTCTTGCCATTTAGTTTGGAGATGGCCCTTGTTATTCTTTCTTCACATCCTTGGCAATCCATATGCACCTTAAGTTCCACAATCTACACTAACATAAAAACATCAAGTTATATGAACTCACATTTGAATTTAGGTTGATATTTTAAATTAAAATGAATATTATACAATAAATTGAATATAGAAAATAGACACTAAGTGCATAAAAATATTAATTGATAAAGGGAGTGAAACTTACAGACAAAGTACTAGGCATTCTTGTTTTCCAAGGTCTCCACCCAAACATGTTATACATTTTATTGTATTTTGTTAGCTTTGTTGGGAATGAATACTAGGAATGCTTCTCTCAATCCCTATTTATATAATATCTCAAACAACATTGTACTTCCAAGCCTTTATCCTTAAAGCATGTGTGTATTACTAATTAATTGAAAAAATAGATTTTGGAATCACAAGAATATATTGTTAGGAAGCCTAAGTACTCTGGAGAATCTATACTCAAATTTATTCCCTCATTTATACGGTACAATGCTCCCATTTCTTCTTCTTTTCAATTTGATGTTTAAGGAGACTAATTTCATTTGTCCAATCTCGAGTAATCCATTTAAAGCTAGAGTAAAAATTTGTATAAATTATTGGATTAATACCTATTCATCTCATGTTATATAGGTCATTTTCGAAAATTCTCTTAAAAAATTGTATGATTTTTCTTAATATTTGAAAAATATCTCTCTTTAAACCTTTGGCAACCCAACTTATAAAAAATGATGATGTGGCAGCGTTTTTTATATTTTTTCATTATATTTAACTTTCACCTCTGTTAAGTGATATTTGAATGGACAACGTTACCCTTTATTGAGAAACAAAACATAAAGGTACAAGGTTGCCACAATTGTTCTCTCTTCTTCGAATTCCTAATCCCCTTTCTCTTTCCATCTTCACCTTCACACCTATCCTCCCGTCTTCCTTCTTTTGCGGTTTCAATCAAAGGGAAGGCAACTGATTATGTTGTAAATCAGAAGAAGAAAAGACTTTGCAAAGCTGTTGATAAGAAGAAAATGGATGATAAGATGAATACTCAAGGACCTAAAATGAGCAGTGATAGGTTGAAAGCTATTTGTTGAGCTCAAAAATGTGATGGACCTGGTTCAAATTAAGAAGCACCATTGTTAGTTGATGAATAACCTACTGTGAAGAGATCAAGACAATGGAAAGACATTTTTAGAAGAATGACTCAATAGTTAGGTTTTCATTAGATGTCATTTTGGTTTACTAAGAACAACTTATTTATGTCATATTTTGTAACAACTCTGTTATGTTTTCAATGTCCTGTTTTGAAACAAATCTGTTATGCACATTATGTGCCATTTTGAAACTCATTTTCATAGGGATAAATCTGAATTCCTTGATTACCGTTTTTCTTAGTTAGTTAATTTGCTCATTTGCTTTTGTTTTCAGAGTTTTGGCTTAGTCCCTCTTTTATATATAT